CTGTAACATTTCTATTCTGGGACTGCTGCCAATACCCTGACTGCTAGCGGCTACCTTCATATCTATACTAAAATTTATATTTATCTTGTGTAATACCATTTTAGTAGTCTATATAATTTTACCAGCTCACGCTTTATCATTATTTTTAAACAATGTAACTATTCTACATTGCAGCTCAAACTGTCTCCCTCAGTGGCTTAGTGGTTAGAACTCACAGTACATGGTTTCTAATCCCAATGATGGCTGCACCTGTCTGCATCTCAGTTTGCATGCTTTCTCTGCACAGGTGTGTTTCTGCCAACACTCCAAAGACATGCTGTTAGGTTAATTGGGCCTGGTATGTCTGAGTTTCTGGTCTTATGCAGGCCATAGATGGGTCAAAAACCAGCCATTTTTTTTTAAAACGAAAAATCGATCGTTCAATAAAAAAAATTGGCCGATTTTCATCCCGTCTATGGCCAGCATTCTTACTTCTGTCCCTTGCAGAGAGCTCCGCTATTATATTTTACATTAAAAGTCTTGTGGTTTCAACAATGTATCCATTTGTATCCATTTCGGATACAGATGTTTTTATTCAGATACAAATAGATACATTGTTGCAACCGCAAGACTTTTCATGTAAAATATATAATAGCGGACTGGAATTCTTTTTTCTTTTTCTTGCAGGACACAGCTCATGCACATATTTTTATAAGTAAAATGAATCAGCCGATTTGCCCATCATTGTCAGGAAATCGGGTGATAGTCAAAATCGTCCGCATCCTGTTCTTCTGACAAGTTTAAAACTTTTCAATTTTCCTTCTGTTTGTATTTGATGATTACAACTTTATCTTCTCTCAGGCTACGTTCACACTAGCTTTGTCAGGCGTCAGACAGGCGTTTGGGAAGTTTTTTTTTACGCTTCTCAAATGCCTATGAAAATTCTGCACATGGCAGCACAGAGTGCTGTTCACACTGAAGCGTTAGCATTGCGTCACGGCAAAACTGGTGCCTCATGTCAAGTCAGGAGGAGTTGAAGCCTCCCATTCAAGTCTATCATGCCGCTCCGCAAATGCCTGGCAGACGTTTGCGGTGTGGTTGCGATGCATTTTCAGAGCCTTAATACCATTTAACTTCATTACAGGCATTTGTGGCACAGTTTTAATGCTTGGTAAATGCTGATCACATGCCTCAAAACCGCACATAGGGCGTTTCGGGAGCATTAAAAACACTTCCCAAACACCTGTCAAACACTATTGGGCCATTTGGCAAGAGTTAGAAATAAAGTCAAGTGTGAACGAGCGCTTAAACCTCTCTCCTTATACAACTTGTTCCCCTCCCCCACCATCACCTGTTCCATTTGTCAGTCTATGTATCCCCGCCCCACTCTTATTTAACTATTTATTTACTGATCAAGTTTATGTGTCTCATTTCCTATCACCTCCTGCTCAGATCTCGCATTGTTATACGATTCCTGATTGTATCTCACCACTAATCTGATTGAATTCACAATTCCTGGTCAGTCCCATTCCCTGACCTATAACAACCTTTAGGACCAGTTCACACTACATGTGTTTCAGTTGCTTTTTTTTTGCATCCAAAATGCACAGAAAGAAGGTTATATGGTTGTCAATGTCATAGTTCACATCAGCGCTTGCAGTTCCAGTGCGTTGCAGGTGCTGTCAAAAAAGGCGAACAGGCTGCATTGTTTATGCATAGAACTGTACTGGAATGCAGTAAAACACCCTGGAACACACTAAAATGCACATGTCCCTAATTAAATTTAAGAAAAAGGGGAAAAAAATTAACTGGCATGCATAAAAAAAAATGCACTGGAACACGTCAAAAACACATCCAAAATGCACTGGAACATGCTAAACATGCATCAAAAAAGTGCATGCAAACACATCTGGAACACATCTAGACTGTTTTTATATTGTGAACTGACCCTTAGGACTTGTTCACACCATTTGTGGTGCAGAAACGCATGCAAGAGCATGTTTTTTCCAACACAGCAAAGAAATGCAATGCCCTTTGCAGATGTGCGCAGGTACCATGGTAAAAACTTAATTGCACCTCCACATGTCTAGTAAACACAGAGGCATTCACAGCCACCAAAACGCATGGCACCACACTACTGTGCAGTTAGGTGCAACACAATTAAAATAATATGCCTGCAGTATTTTTGCATGTTCCCACTCATTAGGCAGCCCATTGAAATTAATAAACTGAGGGAAAAAAAAAAAGTAAAAAATTCCCCATTCACACAAGTCCTCTGTCCTGTACAGCATGAATGAGGGGGTTGTTCATGTGGCTGGAGACACCTGTTACACTATGGGGACAGAGCAGCTGTATGAACACAGGTTTTAATTTGACAGGTGTGACGGTGTGGGGAAGTGACCCTGAATGCTCACTGTCTGTGTTCAGGGCTGTATACCTGCACCCATATGCTTGTCAAATTATGACCTGCAGCATTTCCATAGTGTAACATAGGTTGCCTGCAAACGGTGATAAAAACAAAAACAAACCACTGTTTCCCACTCTACTGGCCACAGCACCCATGTGAATGAGCCCCAAAACCTCAATTACACACACAGCTTTATTTATGAACTCAGTACAGTTTTATCATTTAGATTTCACAGGAATTTGGTTGGGAGTATGTCCATTAATAATGTTTAGTTTTTTTTACCATAAATATAATTTGGATATTTTCTCTGCCGGTGGGGGGCTGTCAGGTATGCTGTACGGGGCCCCGTGATATTTAACAGTGGCCCTGGGTGTATGCTTGTGTCTGTGCCACCTGTATAGTTAGGAAGAACCTTAAACCTCTGCTATGCATCTCAATGGATCTAGGAATTGGACATGTTTTCAACTGAAAATACAATTAGTAATTAGAGATGAGCGAATCGAAGTATCCGAAGTGGAATTCGAGTCGAATATCGGAAAAATTTAGATTCGTGCCGAATCCGAAAAATAGCCTAATTCGGACGCGCGAATCGAAATTTTTCAGAAAATGGCGGCTGACATGTGCGGCGACGGAGCGGGGATGTCTGGGAAGGCGCGCAGACAAGGCGCGCTGACCCATAATGCATTCCTCAACTACATGTGATCGCATCAGCCAATCAGCAGCCAGCCAGCCTGTGTAATGGTCGAGCTATAAATAGCGGCCATTTTGGAATTCTTTCATTTGCCTGCAGTTATTGAACAGAGGCAGACCGCTCTGTACTAGGGACAGGGACAGAGTTAGGGCCACAGAAACGATAATTGGGGACAGAGAAAAGTTACTTAGGGACAGAGAACCATTACTCAGGGACACAGACTTGTTAATGAGGGCCACAGAATCGTTATTTAGGGACAAAGAAACGCTAGTTAGGGCCACAGAATTCATAATCAGGGACAGACAGAATTGTTACTCAGTGCCAGAGAATTGTTACTTAGGGCCACAGAAACTTTAATTAGGGCCACAGAATTTTTACTCAGGGACAGACAGAATTGTTACTGAGTGCCAGAGAATTGTTACTCAGGGACAGACAGAATTGTTACTGAGTGCCAGAGAATTGTTACTTAGGGCCACAGAAACTTTACTTAGGGCCACAGAATTTTTACTCAGGGACAGACAGAATTGTTACCGAGTGCCAGAGAATTGTTACTTAGGGCCACAGAAACTTTACTTAGGGCCACAGAATTGTTACTCGCACAGACACAGAATTGTTACTGAAGGCCACAGAACTGTTACTGAGGGCCACAGAATTGTTACTCGCACAGACACAGAACTGTTACTGAGGGCCACAGAACTGTTACTTAGGGCCACAGAATTGTTACTCGCACAGACACAGAATTGTTACTCAGGGCCACAGAACTGTTACTTAGGGACAAAGAAACGCTAGTTAGGGCCACAGAATTCATACTCAGGGACAGACAGAATTGTTACGGAGTGCCAGAGAATGGTTACTCTGGGCCACAGAAACTTTACTTAGGGCCACAGAATTTTTACTCAGGGACAGACAGAATTCACAGAATTGTTACTCGCACAGACACAGAATTGTTACTCAGGGACACAGAATTGTTACTCAGGGACACAGAATCGTTTAATTAAAGAGTATGTCAGACAACATGCAGAGGAGTGGCAGAGGAGGCAATGTTTTAGGAGCGAGCAGACGTGGCAGCAGAGGAAGGGGTCGAGGCAGCACTATTCGCAGCCAGAGGCCAGTGCTCCCGGTGTCATCCAGCGGTCGTGTCTCCACCGACAACCCTGCCGTCATCGATTGGTTGGCTCGGTCGTCTTCCTCTTCCCAGGTCACCTCTGACACCTACAGCCAACGGTCGGTGGGGGTACGTCAGACACAACCGTTAGTTGGCATGGCCCGGGACCAAGCCCACTGACATCACGTGTCCTCTACCTGCCCCTGTCCTTTGGTGTTCCCTCACCAAGCGAAGTATCGCATGCTGTGGGCTCAGCCCCACTGTACAGTGAGGAAGAGCTAACAGAGGGCGGTCAGGAACGGGGGGAGACATCCGCCTTTTCAGCAGCTAGGCGAAGAAGTATAGTGGCGAGGAGAGTGGCCCGGTAGCCGGTCTAGAGACAGGTCCGTCTCCTGACCCAGACGCAGCCGAGGGGGCTAGTAGTGAGGCGGAGACCCTACTTGATGATGAGGAGGTTGATCGCACTTGGCAGCCTCGTCGTCATCAGGCAATTTCTTCCGCATCATCAGGAGAAGAGGGTGGCAGCTTGGCAGTGAGCGAAACAGTCGGTGGGTTGCCAGGAGACAGCAGCAGGGTCGCAGCAGTGTCAGTGGAAGCAGTGTCAGTGGAGCCAAACGGCCACGGAGTAGAGCACCAGCTCCACTGCAGCCTACCACCACGGCCAGTAGTGGTGCCGGTGTGCACGGAGGAAGCAGCAGTCAGCCAGTGAGGAGTATCGAGGGCAAAGTTTCCTACTCGGTGCGGTGTGGCACCAATTTTTTTCGTCAAGGCGCCTCACCGAGGAAGTAAACGTAGCCGTTTGTCGACTATGTGGCCAGAAAGTCAAGCGTGGCCAGGGGGCCCATGTTGGGACTATTTGGGCCATGTTGGGACAATGGGTGACCTCCCATTGCTGCTGTCCGTCCATCGCCACACTCTGCCATTGTGCCACTTTCAGGTCTCCTCACACACTGCTGGTGTGTGTAGGAATTTTTTGACATAGGGTGCTGGCAGATTACAGGCCATCCCATAGCTGCTGCCAGGCCCCTAATCTGCCATAGGCCCCCTATATACCGCCTCCTCATGCTGCTGCCAGGTCCAGAGTCTCTCATGGGTCCCTGTACGGCCTCCCTTGCTGCTGTCTCCATCGCCACACTCTGCCATGTGCCACTTTCAGGTCTCCTCACACACTGCTGGTGTGTTGAATTTTTTTGACATAGGGTGCTGGCAGATTACGGGCCTCCCATAGCTGCTGCCAGGCCCCTAATCTGCCATGGGCCCCTATATAACCGCTTCCTCATGCTGCTGCCAGATCCACAGTGTCTCATGCCATGTGCCACTTTCAGGTCTCCTCACACTGCTGGTGTGTTGAATTTTTTGACATAGGGTGCTGGCAGATTATGGGCCTCCTATAGCTGCTGCCAGGCCCCTAATCTGCCATAGGCCCCTATATACCGCCTCCTCATGCTGCTGCAGGTCCAGAGTCTCTCATGGGTCCCTGTACGGCCTCCCATTGCTGCTGTTCTCCATCGCCACACTCTGCCATGTGCCACTTTCAGGTCTCCTCACACACTGCTGGTGTGTAGATTTTTTGACATAGGGTGCTGGCAGATTACGGGCCTTCCTATAGCTGCTGCCAGGCCCCTAATCTGCCATAGGCCCCCTTATATACCGCCTCCTCATGCTGCTGCCAGTCCAGAGTCTGTCATGGGTCCCTGTACGGCTTCCCATTGCTGCTGTCTCCATCGCCACACACTCTGCCATGTGCCACTTTAGGTCTCCTCACACACTGCTGGTGTGTAGAATTTTTTGACATAGGGTGCTGGCAGATTACGGGCCTCCCATAGCTGCTGCCAGGCCCCTAATCTGCCATAGGCCCCTATATACCAAAAAAAAACGCCTCCTCATGCTGCTAGCCAGGGTCCAGAGTCTCTCATGGGTCCCTGTACGGCTTCCCATTTGCTGCTGTCTCCATCGCCACACTCTGCCATGTGCCACTTTCAAGGTCTCCTCACACTGCTGGTGTGTAGAATTTTTTTGACATTAGGGTGCTGGCAGATTACGGGCATCCTATAGCTGCTGCCAGGCCCCCTAATCTGCCATAGGCCCCTATATACGCCTCCTCATGCTGCTGCCAGGTCCAGAGTCTCTCATGGGTCCCTTTACGGCCTCCCATTGCTGCTGTCTCCATCGCCACACTCTGCCATGGTGCCACTTTCAGGTCTCCTCACACTGGTGGTGTGTAGAATTTTTTGACATAGGGTGCTGGCAGATTACGGGCCTCCCATTGCTGCTGCCAGGCCCCTAATCTGCCATGGGCCCCTATACCGCCTCCTCATGCTGCTGCCAAGTCCAGAGTGTGTCATGGGTCCCTGTACGGCCTCCCATTGCTGCTGTCTCCATAGCCACACTCTGCCATGTGCCACTTTCAGGTCTCCTCACACTGCTGGTGTGTTGAATTTTTTGACATAGGGTGCTGGCAGATTACGGGCCTTCCATTGCTGCTGCCAGGCACGTAATCTGCCATGGGCCCCCGTACCCAGACTCCTCATGCTGTGACGTTGCAAACAAGGTGGAATTCAACCCTACATATGTTAGACCGCCTTTACGAACAGCGAAAGGCCATCACCGATTTCCTGATGTTAAAAAGCGGATAAAGGTACTCCCTGTGTAACTTAGATGTCAGCCATTGGCAGCTCATGCATGACACCTGCGCTTGCTCAGGCCCTTTTGAGGAGGCCACGCTATTCGTGAGTCGCCAGGACTATGGGATGATAGAACGACGTCATTCCTCTGTTGCACGTCCTGGAACAAATGCTGTTAAACAATGGCTGGTCAGGGTGCGGTAGAAGACGTGGCGCACTAGACGTGGCGCACAGATCTCAACGCCACATGACCCCTGTGGGGGCAGGACAGGAAGAAGAGGAGGAGGTAGAGGAGGACATTGGTGCTCAGGAATTATTGAGTGAAATGGGTGGTTTTTCCACTCAGCGGACAGGAGTGGAGGAGCAGGAGCATCTGGTAGAGGAGGAGGAGGAGGAGACAGAGGACCCAGACGCACCGTGGCAGTATGCTGTGGAGATGGAGGCAGGGAGTCTCTCGCTTTCTTGGCACAAATGGCCCATAGCATGCTCGGTTGCTTGCGTAGCGACAGGGCGACCGAATAATAACCATCAGACAGAGGGATGACTTTTGGCCTGTCCACCTTGTTGGACCCCCTCGCTACCGTTCAAAATGGTGGCCTTTTTCACACCTGCTGAGAGGGAGGCCAAAATAACGTACTATAAAAACCACCTATGTAGTCAGCTGGTCTCTGCCTGTCTGCGCCAACGTCCATCCTCAGACACTGTGGGCCCTGTGCGCTCGCGTTCCGCTGCCATGGCAGCAGGGGAGGGGTGGGGTGGTGGTGCGTGGTGGAGGAGCAGTGGCAGCTCCACCTGCCAGCAGGCTTTGCCTCAGTCTGCAGTCGATGATGAGTAGCTTTCTTCACCAGCGCAGTGAGGAAACTACTAACCAGCCGCTGCGCAAGCTGACAGCAGCAGCAGCAGCAGCAGCAGCAGCAGGTGGACCTGGAGCAGGACCTCAACAACAGGCTTGGGCCTACTTGGACAAGCACCCTGCCAACCGAGGTAGACAATCCCCTTGACTACTGGGTCAACGAAACTTGACCTTTGGCCCCAACTAGCTGAATTTGCCCTTGAAAGGCATGTCATGCCTCGGCCAAGTAGCGTGGCATCGGAGCGCGCGTGTTTAGTGCGGCAGGAGGTATTGCAACTCCGCGCGAGGACACGACTGTCACCCAAGTGTGGAGAGACTGACGTTTGTGAAAATGAATCAGGCGTGGATTAGTCTGGATTTCAAACCACCAGTTCCTGACACAACTGACTAAATCCGCCATGAATCATGCCCCCAAACATGTGCCCACTTTCAGGTCTCCCTCACACTGCTGGTGTGTTCCATTTTTTGTCATAGGGTGCTGGCAGATTACGTGCCTCCCATAGCTGCTGCCAGGCCCCTAATCTGCCATGGGCCCCTATACCGCCTCCTCATGCTGCTGCCAGTCCAGAGTCTCTCATGGGTCCCTGTACGGCCTCCCATTGCTGCTGTCTCCATCGCCACACTCTGCATGTGCCACTTTCAGGTCTCCTCACACTGCTGGTGGGTTCCATTTTTTGTCAATAGACATATCAACACCAGGGGTGCTGGCAGATTACGGGCCTCCCCATAGCTGCTGCCAGGCCCCTAATCTGCATGGGCCCCCGTACCGACTCCTCATGCTGCTGCCAGGCCCAGTAATCTGTCATGGGCCCCTGTTGTCGCTTGTTGGCATATTCCGCTCGTTCAGATGCTCCTTCTCCTGCTACTCTCTCTTCACGGATTCCGTCAGCAGTCTTTCTTGGAATCCGTTTCCAAGAGACAACAGTTTGCGAGCACGCACCAGACGGTGCAGGAAACTGAACGTCCTCCTGTCCAAGTTGCTGCTGCCAGGCTCGTAATCTGTCATGCGCCCCTGTACCGCCTCCTCATGCTGCTGCCAGGTCCAGAGTGTGTCATGGGCCCCCGTACCGACTCCAAAATGCTTGCTGCCAGGCCCGTAATCTGTCATGGGCCCCTGTACCGCCTCCCCATGCATGCTCGCCAGGTCCAGATTGTGTCATGGGTCCCTGTACGGCCTCCCATTGCTGCTGCCAGGGCCCTGTAATCTGCCATGGGCCCCGTACCGACAATCCTCATGCTGCTGCCAGGCCCGTAATCTGCCATGGGCCCCTGTACCCAGCCTCCTCATGCTGCTGCCAGGTCCAGAGAGTGTCATGGGTCCCTGTACGGCCTCCCATTGCTGCTGTCTCTATCGCCACACTCTGCCATGTGCCACTTTCATGGTCTCCTCACACTGCTGGTGTTTCCATTTTGTCATAGGTGCTGTATGGCCTCCCATAGCTGCTGCCTCCACCGCCACACTGTGGCTCCACACTCTGGTTTTGGCCGAGTGACTGGCCAAATGAGTGAAGTGTGCGGTGATTCTAAGATCGACGGGCATCTCATCTGCATGTCATATAAACACGACCTGCCTGACATGTATTATTTCTCTTCCCAAGCAGGACTCCAAGGGCAATTAAAATTAAAGGTACAGTGTTCAGCACTAATATTAAGTCTCTCTGAAGCCTAGAAACACCCTTTTTTAAGTTAAATTCACAGCGAATATATTCGACTCGAATCGAAATTTTTCCCACGAATTCGCCGAATCAGTCGAATCGAACTTCGCTCATCTCTATTAGTAATGTTTCCCCGGCAAATTAGGATCAGCTCCTTGGTGGAGAATAGTGATCTCGCCATGTCCAGATGTGGTCTGGAATTCCACAAAACAATTCACAAAACTAAAAAATAGACCACTAAACCCTCCTAACTACACTCCCATCCACTAACACTCCCCACTACCTCTTCCGGGTGTGTGCAAACATCCTTCCCCAAATGTCATGACTAGAGATGAGCGAATTATTCAAAAATTCGATTCGGCTGATTCGCCGAATTTGTGGAATAAATTTGATTCGATGCGAATTTATTCGCTGCGAATTTAACTTATAAAAAGGGTTTCTAGGCTTCAGAGAGCCTTTATATTAGTGCAGAACACTGTACCTTTAATTTAAATGCCCTTGGAGTCTGCTGGGGAAGAGAAATAATACTGTCAGTCAGTATGACATGCAGATGAGTGCCGTCGATCTTAGAATCACCGCACACTTCACTCATTTGGGCAGTCACGGGGCCAAAACCAGAGTGTGGAGCCACAGTGTGGCGGTAGCAGCAATGGGAGGCCATACGGCACCCTATGACAAAATGGAACCCACCAGGAGGAGGAAGAGGGAGGAAAGAAGGGGAGGAAAGAAGGGGAGGAAAGAAAGGAAAGAAGGGAGGAAAGAAGGGGAGGAAAGAAGGGGAGGAAAGAAGGGAGGAAAGAAGGGGAGGAAAGAAGGGGAGGAAAGAAGGGGAGGAAAGAAGGGGAGGAAAGAAGGGGAGGAAAGAAGGGGAGGAAAGAAGGGGAGGAAAGAAGGGGAGGAAAGAAGGGGAGAAAGAAGGGGAGGAAAGAAGGGGAGGAAAGAAGGGGAGGAAAGAAGGGGAGGAAAGAAGGGGAGGAAAGAAGGGGAGGAAAGAAGGGGAGGAAAGAAGGGGAGGAAAGAAGAAAGAAGAAGAAGAAGGAGAAGAAGAAATCCTAAATGGAAACAAATAGATACAATGTTTCAACCGCTGTAAATGTGAAGGAACTGTCAGAAATAGCGGAGCTCTCTGCAGGGACACTTTTTGCCGGCTGTAGAAGGGATGAAAATCGGCCGATTTTTTTTTACCATTGATGGTAACGTCGGCCGCTTGAACGACCGAATTTTCGTTTTTTAAAAGAAAAATCTGCCGTTTTTCTCCCCATCTATGGCCTGCATTAGGGTTGATCCACACCACAGAAATACAGGGTGGATTAGTATTGCAGCTCTGTGGATTAGTGGTTAGCACTTCTGCCGCACAGCTCTAGGGTTGTCAGTTTGAGTCCCAACCACAGCAAGAAAGTAGCACGATCTCCATGTGGCTGTCTTCAAATAGATGTTCTGGCAACATCTTTGTTTTCTGTCTAAATGATCCCTAGAATGAGGCCTTGTCTGTTGAAAGACCTTCAAAGCTGCACCTAATGTGAATGTCATACAATGATATGAGATAAGGGCCTGGACTACGAATAGATTTGATAATGCTGGTTTACACTCCACCATCTTTTGTGAAGGATTTGTGAAGCAAAGAGCTGAGAGAGAGAAGAGTGAGCAAGAGATACATAGAGTGATAAAGAGAGACATACAGAAGAGTGAGAGAGAGAAGAGAGAGAGAGATACATACTGAAGAGTGATAAAGAGAGACATGCAGAAGAGAGAGATGCATACTGAAGAGTGATAAAGAGACATACAGAAGAGTGAGAGAGAGAGAAAAGGCTTGGGTGGGGAATCCACACATCAAAATTGTTACAAATGCTGGCGTGGATTTTTCCCCCAAATGCATAGCAGACACTTATCCGAGCAGGCAGGTACCGCATACCTTCAAAGATTTATTTCCTTTGTTGATTTACCTGCTTCGTTCACACTATATGCAATTGAAAATTGTGCTTTATGTTGCCAAATTCACCGTGTTTTCTAGAGATTTTCAAACTAGTTGTGATTTCAATTGTGTTTAGCATTGTAATTTCTATTGGAGTCTAGATGTGAAATTGCTACTAAATGGCCCAAAAGTTCGAAGAACTACCTTTGACATCGTAAGTTCAACAAACAAATTGCGTATGTTAATACACTCACATTCATTATATCCGCTATCAAGTACGATGTCAATTCACAAATCGCACCTGAAATTGCACACCCTGGATGCGACTTGGCATTCGATTGGCATGGCCAGCAACTTGCCATTTGCATGGCAAATTGCACACAATGTTACTGGGGGCTAACACCACTGTCACATCTAATCCAATGTGGCAATTGCCCAACTTACAGTGAAGTTGCACGAGTTCACAATCCAATTGGATGTGAACAGAGCCTACAGTGGACAATAGGGTGCAACTTGGTCTACGATTTGCAAGTCCTGTCATGTTATGGGGGGCTACCCGGTCACATTAAAGCAGATTTCTAAGTGGTGTTATTTACACTACAGTCACATGTGACTTTCAGTGAAGTCACATGATTTCAAAGTCTGGGGACATGCTGATTTAAAGTGCGATTCGTTTGAAATATTAGCAAAATCGGCCGAAAATAAAATTGGCCGATTTTCAGATCGTTAGTGGGCGATTTGGTCGGCCGGTTTTCGGTATTTTGGCCGTTTTTTTTTTTGGTAAAGTTGGAAAAAAAATCGGCCGATTTTGCCGATCGGCCGATTTTCGCGGCAATTAGTGGGCAAATCGGCCGATTTTTTACCGATAAAAAAAATCTGCGCATGAGCAGTGACCTGCAAGAGGAAGACAAAAAGAAGAAAAAGAAGAAGAAGAAGAGGAAGAAGAAGAGGATGAAGAAGAAGAGCATGAAGAAGAAGAAGAAGAGGATGATGAAGAAGAAGAAGAAGAAGAAGAAAGAGGATGATGATGATGATGAAGAGAGAAGAAGGAGAAGAAAGAGGATGATGAAGAAGAAGAAGAGAAGAAGAAGAGGATGATGATGAAGAAGAAGAAGAAGAAGAAGAGGATGATGAAGAAGAAGAAGAAGAAGAAGAGGATGATGAAAGAAGAAGAAGAAGAAGAAGAGGATGATGAAGAAGAAGAGGAGAAGAAGAAGAGGATGATGAAGAAGAAGAAGAAGAAGAAGAGGATGATGAAGAAGAGGAAGAAGAAGAAGAAGAGGATGATGAAGAAGAAGAAGAAGAAGAGGATGATGAGAGAAGAAGAAGAAGAAGAAGGATGATGAAGAAGAAGAAGAAGAAGAGGATGATGAAGAAGAAGAAGAAGAAGAGGATGATGAAGAAGAAGAAGAAGAAGAGGATGATGAAGAAGAAGAAGATGAAGAGGATGAAGAAGAAGAAGAAGAGGACGATGAAGAAGAAGAAGAAGAGGACGATGAAGAAGAAGAGAAGACGAGGATGAAGAAGAAGGAAGACGAGGATGATGAAGAAGAAGAGGACGAGGATGATGAAGAAGAGGACGAGGATGATGAAGAAGATGAGGATGAAGAAGAAGAGAGGAGGAGGATGAAGAAGAAGAGGAGGAGGATGAAGAAGAAGAAGATGAGGATGATGAAGAAGATGAGGATGATGAAGAAGAAGAGGATGAGGATGAAGAATAAGTAGGATGAAAATAAGAGGAATTCCAGTCCAGCAAAAAGTGTCTCTGCAGAGAGCTCCGCTATTTCTTTGACAGTTCTCTGACAGTTCCTTAACATTTACAGCGGTTGCAACAATGTATCTATTTGTTTCCGAATAAAAACATCTGTATCCTAAATGGAAACAAATAGATACATTGTTGCAACCTCTATAAATGTCAAGGAACTGTCAGAGAACTGTCAAAGAAATAGCGGAGCTCTCTGCAGGGACACTTTTTGCCGGCTCTAGACGGGATGAAAATCGGACGATTTTTTTTTTACCATTGATGGCAACGTCGGCCACTTGAACGACCGATTTTTCATTTTTTAAAAGAAAAATCTGCCGTTTTTCTCCCCATCTATGGCCTGCATAATGCAGGCCATAGATGGGTCGAAAATCGGCTGATTTTTCTTTTAAAAAAAAAGCGAACAATCGGTCGTTCAAGTAGCCGACGTTACCACCAATGGTAAAAAAAAAAAAAAAAAAAAAAAAGCGGTTGCTACATTGTATCTATTTGTTTCCATTTAGGATACAGATGTTTTTATTCGGAAACAAATAGATACAATGTTGCATCCGCTGTAAATGTCAAGGAACTGTCAGAGAACTGTCAAAGAAATAGCGGAGCTCTCTGCAGAGACACTTTTTGCTGGACTGGAATTCCTCTTATTTTCATCCTTCTTCATCCTCATCCTCCTCTTCTTCATCCTCATCCTCCTCTTCTTCATCCTCATCCTCCTCTTCTTCATCCTCATCCTCCTCTTCTTCATCCTCATCCTCCTCTTCTTCATCCTCATCTTCATCATCCTCATCCTCATCCTCTTCTTCTTCATCCTCATCCTCTTCTTCATCCTCTTTTTGTCTTCCTCTTGCAGGTCACTGCTCATGCGCAGATTTTTTTATCGGTAAAAAAAAATCGGCCGATCTGCCCACTAATTGCCGCGAAAATCGGCCGACCGACCGGCAAAATCGGACGATTTTTTTCCAACTTTACCAAAAAAAAAAAAAAAAAAACGGCCAAAATACCGAAAAACGGCCGAACAAATAGCCCACTAACGATCCGAAAATCGGCCGATTTTATTTTCGGCCGAAAAATCGGCCGATTTTTGACCCATCTATGGCCTGCATTAATGAGAAGTCCAATTTATATAGGAATCTAGGAGGCTAAATGCATAGCACCTGTGATCCATCAGGTGCAGCAAATGAGAGTAATTAAGCAAGTGTGTCCCAGAACCAGCAGGGAAAAAAATATTTGCTGGGTTCCAATATATATATAAATAAATGAATGTTCCACTCTTTTGTAATCACACACACTGCCTAATTATGTCCAAGAATACACACCTACCTAAT